CAACCCGCCTTTTTTTGTTGCCTCGGACCCCGTTGCTGCCTCACCCGGTGGTTCTGGTAGGCGGTCACGGCTGTGAAGCGCGTCTCCTCAAAGACAAAGGTTTTGAAGTTCTCCTCTGCATATTTCTCGCTGTCTTTTCGGGGGTCCACGTAGACCACGTGAAAACGCGGTTGGTATCTGTGCATGGAGTTCAAAATGATCTGAATGATAAAATGAGCAAGGAGACAATAACTGATCCAGGCAGAGCATTGAGAGAGGAGAGCGCAGCCCCCGGCCCTGCTGGCTCCCCTGCCCAGGGGCAGCCGTGGGGCTGAGGCAGGACGGGGGCTCAGAGTCCCTAGGGAGGGGCGCGGGCACCCCACGAGAATCACAGTGCGAGGAATTCCCCCCAGTACAGCCCCGCATTTGACATCTTCCCCCAGCAACACTTACATGCCCATTGTCATCCAGCAAATTGTTGGTCAGTTTGAGCTTATCGAAGGAAACGATCTGCTTCATCCACTGCGCCCCTTTTGCGGGGGAGTCGGGGTGGTAATGCACCCTCCCGGGGGTAGCGGGGTCAGCTTTGCCAGCCACCAGCCAGGAGGAGCTGTGGAAGGCGTACCTGCAGGGAAGGAAAGGCACCCTAAACCACAGCTCGGGGGGGTTCCTGCCCCATGCCAGCGGCGCCTAGCAAGGCTGCAGCACCCTGTGGCCCTGCAGGACCTGGCTCGGGAGAGTCCTCCCAGCCCAGCAAGGGGAAAGTGCTGCCTCCCCCATCACTCCTGCTTCCTATGGCAATGACTCTTCTCCACAGCCAGATTCGTTGGAGGGGTGGGGAATAATACTTTATTAGGTTGCTGATAAAACCGGCGGGAGAGAAATCTGCAGGGTGGAGGAATTTGAGAGCTACCTGTGCAGATTTGGGAGAGAAGCCACAAAAGCTCCCCCTTCCTCTAAAAAAAAGGGTGAGAGTGAGCCCTCTATATAATAATGTTCTGGCTTTCGATTAATAGCCGGTTCAGAATTTAGCAGCCTTTTTTAATTCTTTCAGAGTACATATTCAACAGTAACATTTAAAACAGAGAAACCAATCTTCTATATACGTGTTTACTTTAAAAGCCAGTGTTTGCACAGGGGGAATTAGACACCATTGGACTCGAGCAGAAACATTACTTTTTAAAGATATACTCAATTGGATGTTATATATCCCACTTCCCTTGACAAGCAAACATTTCTAGGACGCCCTGAGAATTTGGATATCTGTCTAAATATTTATATATCGGACCCTGCAATTCCTACACGGGCTGCCTGCTCGGCGTCCTGATCTGAAGCTAAATACATAATGCGCCTTTCACTGTCTTTAAATTAAAGAGGTTCCAAACCAGACCGCATCGCTGCCTTGCGAGTTGCCAGTTTCCAAGGCCTTCCTACGCTGCCGCTGGAAAC